GCAGTTTGAAAGAAGCAGTGACATACAGTCGTTAGGAAAGCTACCATCGAAGATCTCTTAATAAATACGTATACAAAAAAAAAAATTATAAATAATACGTATACTCGGTCATCTAGATATCGCACGTTCGACAGCACTGTCGCGATCATGTGACATCCAGCGGCACGACCGAGAAAGAGGCGAAATGCTGAGAGATATTCTATCGCAAAAACAGGCCCTCACGCGCCAAGAAATAAAATCACAGATATTCTTTAAAAAATACAAATAATTGTTAAACGTCATAAGGCAGGCTCAAATTATGAAACACGATCAGGAAATTTTAAATTCAAATAACCAAAGTAATGTGGAATACATTAAAAAGCACGACAACATCAACTATAATTCTTGTAGAGAATATCGATTTAAATGATAACGATAGAGATGTGAAAGATTCGGTAATAGTGGCTAGCCTCAACGAATATTTTTCGGGAATTACTGCCGATCTTACTAACGGCCACAAAATTCAACATCAGACGTATTAATTTATTTCCATCGAAAACTATTAAAAACCTACGTGTGACGTGCTTTGGGGAGATGTTAATTTGAAATTACATTTATATTGAGAAGCAAAACATCGGGCCATCTCAGCATTTGCTCAAGGATCAGGGAAACTGGACGAAAACCTGATCGTGATGGGGGTCATTGACCCAGAAGCTGATGTACAAACCTTGTTACATGTTCGTTAGTATTATTCAATCCAATTGGTAAATAATACACCATGTCATTAAAATTAATATTACTTTACTTCTGAATGGTCGGTATAGTCTCTAATTCCATAGAAAGAGTTGTGCACCAGAAAATATTTTACTTGGGACTTAAATTTGTAAATCTAATTTAATCGTTTAATGTGAGGTGTATTAAAATCATGTACATGTTTTGTATGCGATTTGTTTTAGTGAGCTAGCAGTTAAAATCTCCACATACAACAATGGATTCGATTGGTGACTTGGTTTAGTGTTATCTCCAGTTTTTTAAAGAATATAATATAATCTACTGTTCTCTTTGTTGGAGGCTTGAAGTTGCAGAGTAAATATAATTTTTAGCGTAGGAAGATGTACGACAGATATTTCAAAAACATTTTCAACGGAATACACATTTGATTCCGTCAAGTAAATAGAATCGATATTTCGAACGTAAATGCAAGAACCTCCATATGAAGGACCTTTATGTGCTTCTTTTTCTTTACAATAATAGCCTGCAAGGTAAAAGTTTGGAATTTGGAAAATGTTAAGTTCATTATGAAATACCCAACGTTCTGTAAAGCAAAGAACATCCATTTGATTTAAATCTCTCTGTAGATCTGCTTCGATAAACTCAGTTTTATTTCAATGGGATTGAACATTATGGTGCAGTATGTTTATCTTTCAGACGTACCTACGCGGATATTTTTCTACTGCATCTGATTGTAGTTGCTATATATTTACTCCATTTTTACCTCGAGTGCGCGGTCGAAGGTTGTAGTGTGTCCCTAGTGACAGGTTGATGCATCAGGTGCAGGAAAATTGGTAGTGAATGGGAGAAGGATCAGAGGAGGAGATAAGTGGGTTCGAAAAAAGGGTTGGAGGGTAGACAACGTAAGGAAGGTGAAAGGGATGGATTTTTGGCAGGAGGCTGCGCAGGACTGGAATTGATGTGCAAGCTCGTTGCCGATTGCATGTTTTCCACCAAGGTTCATGTGAAGACCATGCCGGGTGATGTGTTTCGCTGAGAGGAAAATAATTTAAAAAAGTGTACCATTTGTTTCTCTCAGTTGCAGTTTTAATTGTTGATTTGCGTGCTTAATGTCGTTGCACACTGTTGATCTGTTGTACCAGAAGGGCAGAGTCGAGACTACAATGTTAGTGTTTTACACAGCACGATGTAATTTGTTTACACGATATTCAGGTTAAAGTTACCGCCCATATTAATGCCATTCTCCCTCCTACGATAATGACTGTGTTCTGATTGGTCAGTGTCTTATGTGGGTGTCCAACTCTGCAGTCACGTCTGCAAACCTCCCGTTAGGTTTAAAAATAGATGAGACTGAGTAGTTGGAGGGTAACTTTTTACTGAGAATGGAGGAAAGATGGCGGCCATGGCTGTCAGCTAAAATAAGTACTTGTTTATAAGGCTCAGTAGAAATGCCTGTTTTCAAGTGGGCTAGGATGGGCAGCTTTACGTGTTTTCGTTTTGACGCGCTTCCTAGCCTGTTTGATTTGTGCATGTATTTGTCGACGGCAGAAAGGGGTTGTGAGGATCAGGAAGGCGAGGCAAATGTTTCATAATCTAAAACACTAAATTTGAAACTAACACTAACCTCCCTCATTTTTAAGGGAATAGTACGATTAAACCACGAGACAAATGGAACCGAAGGAACTGTGCATCCCTGGTGGCCACCATAAACCTGCGATCAACCAATCTTTGCTTAAAATTGTATTATATATTGAAGGTACTTAAGATAAAATAATCAGTTGAAAGAATACCTTACAATGGGGAGTAGACTGTTACAATTCTTACACTGACGGAAAAAGAGCATTACAATCACTCGATTGCATTGTAAATGTATTCTTCCGTACAGATACAGTACATATAGAACACTACACGTGATGCCATGCAAGACTCGCACATCCAGCAACAGAGAGAAGCGTGGACCGGAAACGCCACATCAATACCGCGTGTACCCGCCGCGACCAGAACGACAAACCCTGATGCGGACTAGCATCCCACCGTACAGGTGACAAATAAAGAGTCCTGCCGCACACTGTTCCACGCCTCCTGCAGAGCAGGCAGAGTTATTCGGGGAGTCGCAGCACGGGTCAGGCGTTGGCCCATCATGTCCCTCACATGCTCGATCGTGGACACATGCGTCGAGCATGCCGACTAGGGCAGATGACGAACATAAAGAAAAGCGTGTTGCATAGCGCGGGTATTGTTATGCTGGAACAGCGCACTGCCCTCCCGTTGCAAGAAAGGTATCAATCAACTCAGGCCGCACAACGTGCTGCATTTATCTTGCACGTGCTGGAAAATTATTCCTACACGAACACACAGCTGACGGCACACCACACCAACACTCCCAGGATGGGCCCTGCGTGACGAGGACGAACACACTCCGGGCGTACACGCTGGCCTGTGCGACGCCGCACACGCACACGACCATCACTAGCATACAGGCAGAAGCGGCTTTCCTCCCTTGCACGCCATTCCGTCTTCCAGCTGAACCGCACATTGCACCACGCCAGACGAGCCCGACGATGGTTCGGCGTTGTGGCAGTCGGGCTAGCGGTATCCGCGATTGTCATCATGCAGCAAGTAACCGGTTCCCAACGGTGCGTAGACACTTTGGGGACCACATGTGCCGGTATCTAGAGCGAGGGTAACCTTACAATCTGCCAATGCCGCCCTCATGATGCGTCGATCTTGACGTTCGTCAATGTTGCGCGGTGGCTCCGAAGTGGGTCTACGGCTCACGTGGCCATGCGCCGAAAGGACCGCAACGCTGTGGCATACCCAAGTTCCTAATAGACTTTATCGCGATGGAAAACCCCTTTAGTTGGCGCGTCCGGGCCTTTAGTTGATTGTCAGTGATTCGGGGCTAGTCAACTATGTCCCGAAAGTGAAGTGCGTGTTTTTGCCTCGTCTTCCCCCGGTAGATGGCAAGATCCGGCGCCGTCCTACCGTCAGCTAACGGGATTTTCCCCAAACAGGTATCTCCCACTAGCGGGGCACCGCCCCAGCCGGGACAAGCTCTGAGCTCTCGACCGGTCTCCCGGCATGCGTGGTAGTGAATTGAATTGAATATGCCTTATTTTACGTGGCGTTCTTCCGTCTGACCACGCAAATTTCGCTACGCTCCTTTCATATAGCAGAGAAAGAAGGTATTTCTTGGGCGAGAAACAGGCGATTTGAATTTAGCTCAGAGGCGTCATTTAGGCTTGAGAATCTTTTACATGCAAGTAAATCTACGAACATGGGACAGCCGGCTTTACTTCCCCGCCGAAGGAAGGCGTACGAAGGATTTTTTCGCCCTTAAAAATCCACGGCTTCGATCGGGTTTGAACCCGCCAACTTGGGTACAACAGTTCAGTACGCTAACCATTACACCATCGCCGCCACGTAGTGCAGGTCAGTCATCCGTGAAATGTTGATTACTGCTACTTAGATCCCTCATCGCGTACTTGATTGCTCGTGCCCTTCCCGGTCTTGCAATACCGCCGGTAAATGTATGGCATTTAGGTGGCATTAATGATTGGTACTTTTTTGTTTGAAACGTTTTTGTACTCCATCAGATGTCGAACTCAGTGAATCAGATATGTTCATTTGGACTCAATATATATAAGATTCCATTAACAAAACAATCTCTATATTTAATATTACAATAAGAGAGCCTTGAAAGTGTTTACTTTATCTTTGTTTAAAATTTCAAAGTTTTTGCTACAATATAAATCTGCATCATTTTTTTAATTGTACTTAAAAAACACTACTTGAAGAAAAAATTTGGAGCCTTTTGAGAAAACTTTAAATGTTAACCTACAACCTAATTGTTAAATATCTATTTCAAATGCAAGGGACTAACATCTGCCAGATTAAAGAATATAAATTTTTGGGAAAGTTCTGTGTACAGTTTAGTGCTAGAGTTCTTGATGTCTGACGAACTTTTTCGAGGAAAACAACACTTGTGCGGTATCAGGGACGCCCAAAACTTGCCTTTCCTTACAATCCTGATATTTTTTTGCTGTATTAGGCCTGTCACACGAGCGCTGTATTGACACTCGCCATCGATTAACACTATCTTATGCAGAACAGCCAAAGTTCTCCTGTGTAGTTTTACATAAGATAGTGTTACTCTATGACATGCATTAATTAACATGCTTCAACACAACTTTCATGACTAGGAGCCCTTGTTTGCTTGCAGGGAACTCTTGTATACTATGTGAAAGTATGAAGGAAATGGTTTCAGGGTTTCTCATACAAAAAGTTTCTTTATTTAACATTTCTGTATTTCAAGCACATATGAAGAATATTTCCGAAAGTACAGAATTGTTCAGCATTAATATGGAGCAATCCAGGTTCAGTATTTTCTAGAACCATTGTGAAAAAACTTATGGAATTGATGATCTTTCAATATGATTAGAGAAATTTAACCATTTCCCGATGTTTGCTTTCTCAAAAAATGTCAAAATTTATATACTTCAAGACATGCTTTCTGTAAATGCTAATTAGGACCAAGCATTATTGTAATACAGTGATTTCATGTTTCACAACTTACATGTTAAGAGTTCTTGTAAAAATAATTCTTGCCCACATATTAACTTTGCAAATTAATTGCAAAAAGAGCATATCAAGTACTGAAAAAAATAATGTTCTACCTGATAGTAAATTAATTTTCAAATGTAATATTTCTCTCATCATATTACGCTAAAATACTTAGTCTCTCTTTACATTTTATAAGCGGCTTTTGAACTACTAGTACTTCATAACAATAAACTTCTTGAAGAAAATTTTAAAATGCAAATTTAAGCAAACAAACATAATAGTATTTTACAAATCCTCAACATTTAATATTACGTAAGGACGGTAATTTATCCGTAAATCACAAAACAAAATATGACAATCCCTGCCTCAATGAAGCAATAAACTCTTATTCACATGTGAATATATACAATATAGTCATAAAATATACATGTGAGAAATAGAGTTATTCTATTAAAATGAAAAAGCTTTTCAACATTATTCAAATTTACAAAACTATTACGCATGACTTGATATGAATTATGAAAAGAACTCGTCTTAAAAACAAAATTAATTCAGAAGACTCTCCCCACTTCTTACTATTATATTGCCCCCATAAAAATTCTATAAGTTTAGATTAATAGTAAATCAATTCAATGTTATTTGAACACTAGATATACAAAAACTAAAATAACTCTTTGAAATTCATCTACATAACCCAACACTTTGCAAGTGCATTTAAAGTATTGAAAATAAACTGTTTTCTTGAAAATAATATTTAACAGCTGAATAATGCTGCATTATTCTAAAACTTCAGAAACCAGCAAGTGACTATTTTCAATCTACCTTTGTAGTGCAATTAACTCCATGTTACATTTACTGCAGTGGATTTTCGGACTCTGACGTGTAACTTTTAACACGTGAAAACCAAAATGGAGGAAATCGACTTGCAGGCAAATCAAAATTTGTTGTGCTTTCCTGCCCATTACGATATCTGGTGATTACAGAATAAAGCTGCCATGTCATTTGGGCATGTTTGCGTTTGCGGCAACTGACAATCTGCAGTTCCTACAAGAAAAAGAACAATGATTTTTATAATACATCTGTTTACAATAACTGAAACATCATCTGCTAGAACTCTAATAAATAAAAAGTTTTAAATAAAACTTTTGTATTCCTTTTTATTAATATTGTTTCAACATTGTAAAGTAATAAGAGGGGAACTTTGTGACTAATATCTGTTCACAAGACAAACCTTCAGATACAAGTATTGGAAAGTCATGAAGCAAAAATAAAATTTATGAGCCATCTGAGATGCTTGTGAAAAGAAGTTTATATAGAATATTTTTAATTGTGTTTGACAACTTTCCTACATTTCGGGGGGAAAAAGGTATTGCTCTGATAAGGGAGATTTTTGTTAAACCCATAGAAAATATAATCTTACAAATCTGTTTTTGCAGAAAGATAATGCTCAAATACACAACAAAAGAAAAAAATATCTTCAATGGATGAGAAAAAAAGGAAAAATTACAACAGAAAAATAATGATTTTAATACAAAATTATTCATTATGGTTGAGAAATGCTACTTACTACATGGAAAGTCTGTTCTCCCAGGTCTTGTATGCTATCTCGTCTTCTGTGACGATATCGATTATTTAGCAATGATTTTGAAGCAGAGTCTTGTCTTTTAAGAACGATAACAACTCTTCGGTCTTGCAATCGATAATGGCCTTGCAGGATACTGGGGTTCCGATTAGTGCGGTATTTCAAATAACCAACACAAGATGTTGGATCATCTGGTGTAGTTAACATTAATACTACACCATCTGGAAAGAATCTGTAGCAAATTGAAACATCTATTAAAAGAATGAAATTGATAAATGTTTTCAAGTCATTTGTGCTTGCATTGCTTTCAAAATTTCTAAAGCTACATCTATACATTGATAAAGCTTAAAAAGTATTCAAATTTTGTGTACAAAATTTCTTACATAGCATAAAATTTGTTATTTTATTCAAGGTGCATGAAAGGACTATTTTTTTGCATGATCAATAGAGATACTGTTGTTTTTGTTTTTGAGACAATAGACATGCACAACCCAAAAGAAGAGGGAAGGGTCAGTTTTGAACCCCCTGTTCTATTTGAACTTTTTATTTTCTAAAGACATTTCCCAAGCACCTGAACAATTAAAACATATTACATGATTAATGAAATTATAACTTAAATGATGCAACTGATTTTATCAATCAATCATTTCTTGCTGCAGGGGGCTTGGAGACCTTCTTCCCCTCATCTCATTCTCTTTTCCCAAATTGTCAGTTAAAATTATGTGAAAATCAGGAATTGAACAGATTAAAAAAAATTGAATATTTTATTCTGTAAGGCTATGGGTCCTTTCAAAATTTTCATTAGAGACCAGTCTCTCTGTCCCCACTCATATCATCAATAACGATTTTGAACATTGCTGTCACCTTTCTCGGAAGTCTTTTTAAAAGACAAACTTCATGCACATATACCACAGAAACACTCATTTTTATTTGACCATAGAAAAAAAACTATATTTATTAACAATTTGAACTCTTTACCTGAGATAGCGAAAATATTCAACCAGATGCCAAGGCCGATAAAACTGATCTTGAAAATTATTCTCCCCATGTCGCACATATGTAGTTTTACTGATGTAGCAACCATTGAAATGGAGTCTAGGCCTTTCAATAAACATCTGGCGCCATGAACCGTAATTTGTTATATCTCCACAATTTACTCCCCACATTCTGTACCAACAGAACCCACAATAAATAAATGCAAAACTGAAATTCAATGTTATAACACATCTTTCATCATTAGAGATATACTAAGCAATGAAATTTCATCGTGGAAACGTCTTCTAAATTTCAAACCCCAAATAATTGAGATGTTTGAAATTAAATTAATACTAATAAAGAAGTTCATACAATTCTGTTTGTCCAATCAATTACCTTTCCATTCTTGTTTATAAAAATTGACCTTCAAAAAAACCATTAAAAACTGTTTTGAAATTAAGGTACGTTATACAGGTAACGTTAATCTCACAAACAACTATGTTCATTCAACAAGTGTTTTCATTTCTGTTAAAGTTGCAAGGTAAAAATACTGTATTAAAATAGTTATGTACATATAAAAAAATATTAAAGATTAAAATAAAGATTTTTTTAAACACCTTTTTTCAAATTGTTATCTCAAACAAACAAACCAAATAATAGAAATATAAGTATTGATCCAATTTATCTATTTCTTTTCAAAAGATATTGTTTGGATGATCACATTTCAAAAGCAGGCAAGATAAGCAGAATACAAGCACTGATGAAAACGTTAAAGGTTGAAATTAACTTTCCATTAGCAAGCAGACATGGCAGAACCATCCAGGCTGTAGTCCATTCAACGTCTCTTAAAGGAGGAGCAACAGCAACAGCAACAGCAACAGCAACAGCAACAGCAACAGCAACAGCAACAACAATAATGGAGCTCGATGCCATGTTGCATCAATGTGTTGCCTCAGGATGAAGAGGTAGAAGCACTCATTTTTGTCTACTCTAATATTGCAGATCACAGAGCAGATTGCTTTGGGAAATATGCCTTCCAGGAATGTCGAATCAGTTGAAACAAAAAGCATTCCACGGCTACGAAAAGCCACATGCTGGCTAACTGCCCGTACAGTACAGAGGTACGGCACAATTGTGTTGAGTACTTGTATACTGATGTACTCGGTTACGGAGGTGGTTTTATTGAAGTGAATGGTTACTCATGATTTTCTAGGGAAAATAAAATGTCCTAAATCAAAAATTACAAATTATTTTCATAAGTGTCTGTGATTTGAAAACAAGAAAGTGGGTAAATTTTCACCGTCTATTTGTGGAGCATCAATGACTGTGACAAACTACAAATTAGATGGATGAAAGCAAATTATAACTGCAGATTGGTATTCCTGAAGATTGTTAGTGATTCTGGAAAAGCCAATGGCTGAGGTCATTAGACCTGTAAGTGTAGAGTATGTTTTTCCTCAGGATGTGGCCATGGTCATCCCCCGCTGAGTGGAGAGATCTAGCAACCACTTACTGCCGGCTAGTAGAGTTTTCCTCAACCAAGTATCACCCACCAGTTGGCAACTGTCCCAGCTGGGGTAAGCTCTCTAGTCTACTGGTCTACTGACGTGTGTGGTAGTGTAGTGCATTTTAGTGCAAGTGTGTGTAAGTAAGGGGTGAGGTTTGGACAAGAAACTGGAAGGAAAGAGTGTGTGTCCATGTGCCGTTTGTTAGGGTACTGCAGCCAACCACTAGAATCCTCCTTTAGACAACAACTGAATTTAACAGAACTGACAAGCTAGTGTTGAAAATCCTGCCACTGTTGGGACTCGAACCTAGGACTTCCCAGTTAGAGGCACTCCAGTGACTCCTTGTTCTGCTCCCATTCAGCAGCTCTTCCTTCAGAATCCTTCCTCCACCTGTACATAAATTTTGGTAGCTCCAACTTTTTGCACTGAGATTCGTAATTTAATCAAACTTCCTTCTACATGCTTACATTTGTTTCATGACCAACTAGATAAACTGTACAAAACAAGTTATAACCGACAGTTTTAGAAAATTGTCAAGTGCTAAAAAATTCCTCATGAAAGACACAAGCATGCCACAAGAGCTGATGTCTTTCTCGCCGTGATGGAACATTTTTCCACATTTTTGGATCCAGTGGCTGCTCATGTGTAGGTTGCATGGTTACTCAACACATGATTGATAATCAAAACAGATCTTATAATATGTTAGTAATGTACATTTTCCTTTTAATGACATTCTGTTTTCAAGATATTGCAGCAATATTGATGTATATGAAATTATTTTGAAACTAAAGAGCACCCAATGAGTGCTCTCTCTACGGCGTCTAGTGCTCTCTAAGCCTTGCAGTATGACATTCTCTTGAATCTATTGCTAGTTTACAGTTTTTACTCTTTGGCCCTGTGCTTCAACTGGGGTCTTTGCTAGGAGTTTTCTTCCATGGGTGGGGAGGTCTGGTCACTGAGTGTGGTGCAGTATTCAAGGAGAATAACAATTTTCTCTCTTTGACACTTATAAACTTAGTTTTAATTATTTGTTAACATTTCGTCATATATTACTGTTCTGAATTTTCGAAATTACATTTACAATGGAGCTGCAACCTTCACAATCGCCACCATTTGGTTTCTCTCAAAATAATTGCAATTAAAAAATTTGGTTTTAAACACTGATCAGAAAATTATGGTAGTAACAGAGGTGACTTTTAAATAAGATATCTGGTGTCTACATGGGACAAGTATGCATATCCATTTTTTTAGGAAAAATAAAGTGAGTTAAGTTTTCCTCCATTAGCTGCCTATGATTGCAAGTATTTGTTAATTAATCATGAGCCAAACAAATTAATTATAAATTGATAGGAAGTGAGTAACTAATATAATGACGCATATGTATAATTTGTAAGAGATTCAGAAAAAAATAAAAAAAGCAAGAGAATAAAATTATTGCCAAATAAAAAACATCATCCAATAGCACAAAAAGAGTTTTGCTGCAACAACAAAAATAATAAAAAGGAAATCCAATATTTAGAACCACTGAAGATGATATTCCATAACAATGCCCTAGATCAGATAGTATAGATATTGTAAGAAAAATTAATGAATGAACAAACAAACAGGAAAGTTAGAAAGAGCAATTAAAAGAGTTCGGTCTAGGGAAAAGAATGGAATTCTATAGACAGTTTAACAAGCTGAAAGAATAAATGATATCTGACCACAATCATAAGGTAAAAGCATTGTCTTAAACAGATTTGAAACCTAGTAATGTTTGTCATTGCAGCCACCACTTATTTATGTAGGAGGAAGTATATTGAAAAGACAAACGAGAAGGAAAAGAAGGAAGAAGAAAAGAACAACAAAGAAAAGGAGAAGGTGATGAAAATAATTAAAGCTGATATCAGAATGTAAGTTACACAGAAAGAATGCTTGCTAATGCCATGCCACTCAAAGAACTTTATACTTTGGTCAATAGATGGAATGAGAATTAAGAAAGAGATCATGTGAGAAATATACAAAAATACTATAAACAATTACTACATTATTTTTAAAAAATTCCACATTAAAGCAATGTGACATCATTGACTTACCTAATGCAAGCAAGCCTCCATATTTCTGGGTCTCGACTGCAAAGGTAGAATCCACGGCATACTCTAGCACACATTTCCAAAGACCGCAAGTCCAGTTCGGAAGATACCACCCACTTCATTATGTACAATATGATCTCCATTGGCAGAGCAGAAATGTGGGTTGCCTGAATCCATCAGACATACATAGCTTCCCTCCTACAGTCCATAATTGTTAAGTGTAATAATGCCACAGATGTGTGACTGTGTATGGCAGTGAAAACTAAGCATCAAATGCAATTAGCTAAAGTTGATTTTAGGATAATTATTGCATACCTGCTGCTCATGGAGTGGCACACAAACACAGCGTACTCTATTAAAAATTCTCTGTAAATGGGTGAGCAAATCCAAGTTATCATCATCTTCATCAGATATTTCACTTGGCTCAAAAACATGCTCAACCTCTGGCACTTCTGTACAAAATAAAATTTTAAAAAATTAATAAATTACATTTATTACAAAAAGAAGAAATTATATACCAAGAATATAAAGCAATCTATTACTTTATTTTTTTATTTGGCATCAACACAGTTAAAAACTGTATGACAGGCAATGGGGAGAAGTGTATTCTGTGCATATTTTCTTAATTCTGGGATCCCTACCCTCAACCATACACAAGTTGAATTCTGAATAGAAGAAATGAGTCTTTTTTGGTAAGTATCGTTAACAAAGGCAAATAAGCTATAGATTTGAGTTCTTATCCCTCAGCTGTGACAAACCAGGAGAAATGACTCAGGGCATCAACTGAAGTCACCGCCCTGTCTCTAACCGGGAGTTCCTAGGTTCAAGTCCTGATGGTGGCAGGATTTTTGACACTAGCTTATCAGCTACATAAAACTCAGTCGCTGTCTAAAGGAAAATTCTAATAGCTGGCTGCTCTGATCAGTTTTGTGTGGTTTCTCTGATCAACACCAGGCGAATGTTGGACGAGTACCATAGCAAAAAGGCACAGATCACACGCGATCTTTCCTTCTTTCTGGTCCTATCCTCACCTCTTGTACTACACTATCACATATGCTGCGAGACTAGTAAGGAGCTCAGAGCGTGTTCCGGCTTGGGGCTGTGCCCCACTGGTGAGAGATACCTGGTTGGAGAAAACCCCACTAGCCGACGGTGGGTCGGCCCCGGATCTAGTCATCTAGTGGGGGAATATCACCACCACATCCAGAGGAAAAGATGCACTCACTTACGGGATTAAGACCCTTGGCCTTTGATGTGCTCGGAATCACCATTTGCCATGACATCATAGAGACTGATAATTTAAGAAACTATACCTCCCACTAGACACCAGAAGACATGCACAGATAATGTATTACATTTATGTCCAGAAACAAAAGATGGGGCTATCTCAGCATTTGCTCAAGAGATCCGGGAAACTGGACAAAAAACCTGACCGAGATGAGGATCACTAATCCAGATTCAATCATTGACAGTTCAAAACTCTTAATCCATAGTTTTGCTGGAAACGAAAATTAGAGTTTTAAAATTACAAATAACCATTTTTTGTAAAATGATTTTGGTTTGAGTTATTTTATGGTAAAAAAATATTGACAATCAATTTCATGTCAACATTCTAAACAAAATTCAGTTAACCAATTTATTAACCATATAAATATGTTCGCTTTAGGAAAATTAGAAAGCAATACATAGCTCCTTTTATAAGGCAATAAAGAAGACAATCCAAGCAATCTTACCCAAATTACGTTCCTCCTCAAGTCTCTCTTTCACTTTCTTGCTGGAATCGTATAGGCGAAATTCAATATCAGGTACCAATTGCACAGCTCTACGATAGAACTGAATGGCTTCATACAGCTTACCACTTTGTTCATGCTCCACACCTTTCAAGAACATGGTTCTTGCCTAAAAAACACCAAGCATACTCGTGTGAAACCAAATTCATCCTAAATGTAGTTGCTATAGTGGTAGCCAGGGCCAAAACAATATGGGAGTAGCAGTGCCATTGAATTATGGAAATGTAATTGTCTGAACTCAAAAGACTAAAATATAATGAAACATAAGCATTGTATGAACATTTGTTACTAAGCTTAGAAAAGTCGGTATTCAATATTACTAACAATATTATGTATTATATTCTGGAGGTATGCTCACCTTCCATCAGTGTGCATGGTTTAAGTTTACATTTTCAGTAGTAACTCATTTTGAATGTAACAATTAGAAGAAATCATACAAAGTTAAAGCAGACTTAAGATTTCAAAATACAGTGATATGATCACACTTAAACACCTTGCCACAGCTACAGTTTGGATAAGTTTTACTCTAATTCATTCCATTGTTATTGCCGAGACGATGATGATAAAAAAATATTTTCTTTCAAAAATTTCACTATTTAGCAAACAATTGAGACAACCAAGTATTGTAATTTTCTCAGAAATGAAAGTTTTTATTGCGAAATATTTTTTTAAAAAATTAACAATCATAACCACTACTTAAAGTATACAGTAATTATTTTCTTGAAAATGTATAGTACCAATGTTTATAATCTTATTATACATATTATTTTTTTGAAGAGGAAATCCATCTGCCTTTCTTTTTGATGTGTAAATTTTTCAAAAACTTTTGATTAAAGTCAGGAATTTCCATTATGAGGTCCCTTTCTATTGCGAGCATGGCCAATGGTGACACACTGTCTGGTGACTTACAGTTTCTTACAAACATCTTTATCCACTTCAGGGTGGAACACCAGGTGGAAAACCTCTCTGTTTCAAAAGTTGTCATTGGAATAGTAATAATGATTTCTAAAAGTTTCAAAACTTCACTGAATGTTTCTTCCAAATTGGAGTCTTTAAGAAAACGATACAAATTAACAGTTTCGGATAATCTCCTGAACCCTTCAGCACTGTAAATTGCTGTCCTTTTTAAGTTCTGACATATCTTTTTCAAAATCTACAAGACACTTCCCAGTGAGGGTGGGATCAATTTCTACTTTCTGAATTTGTTTGTATAATTCATCAATAAAAATCATAACTTTCCGGAAAAAGGTAAGCCAAAAGATAAATTCATCACTAGCTAATATTTTTAAGAGTCCAGCAGCTAGGGAGAGAGTATTGTCACTTTTTATATTATCTGACTCGAAAATGGTTTTCATGCATTCAATCAGGGCAAGTTTGTGGTAATAAATTGTTGTAATGCCTCTTGACTGAGAATTCCACCAGCTTGGCTTAGATTTAGGCACCCTCTTGTTTATTATTTCATCTAACATTGATGTCAACTGTGGGCTATTGGAAAAAAATGTCCAAAGGCCCTGAACACTGGCATAGAAAACCTTGACATTTCTATTCGTTGATGCTGCTCTAATCATTACTAAATTAAGCTGATGTGCATAACAATGGACGTATTGAGCATCAGGATATTTATTTTTAATAAATGATTGAACATCTTTCGGAATTCCAGCTGTAACATAAGTGCCATCATGTCTTGCTAAAAGCTTTTGTGGGGATTCATTTACATTGTGCTGTTTTGGTTCTTGAAGAAGGCAAGATGCCAAGGTTTCTGCATCATGATGCAGTGGATTCACAAAAGTCCAAAATCTTTCTACTGGTTTATTGTTAACAATGTATCTATAAACAATAGCCATTTGGAATTTACTTGTCACATCACTAGTTTCATCAGCAATAACAGCTAAAAAGCTCGCTTGTCTGATCTCTGCAATTTTTTCATGGCAGACTTCTAACATACATTGTAGCAACTCATTGTGAATCATTACATAAGTCCCAAGAAAAACTGCTGTACTTTTCTGATGATTTTTTAGTTTCATTTATTTCTGAACATAAATCAAACAATCCTCTAAAAATTCCAAAATTTGAATGTCCTCGAAATACACAGTGACTTTTAACAGCTAAACCAAGGGCACCCCGGAAACGAAGGCAATTAATAATTATGTTTAATACATATCTATTTTGCTTCACTTGCTCATTATGAATTGCAACATTTTTCCTGAAAGCATTACCTTCTTGTTTTGTCATATCGGTAGTCCCAAATAATGCTAACTTCAAACTGTTTTTTACATGGGTTCCAGAGGCATCATGTTTCTTCATTCTCTCCGGTACATGATTTGACTCTTGAAATCCAGTCTTTGTCCACAGTTCGTTCCCTCCAAATAGTATACAGGGAAAGCAAAACAAAGCTAACTTGGAATCGCACCCACATAACCAATTGAATTTACTGTATAAATCATTGTGGAATTTTCGATTAAATTCTCTTCTGCTTTAACATTTTGAATTAAATTTTGAGACTTGGTGTAGGTCTTAATTTCTAGTTTGTCTTCAATAGTGCATGCACTGAAAGGAAATTTTATTAATTTTTCCATTGAATTCATTGTTTAATAGCCTGCTGCCTAACTGCAGGGGAATAGATAGTGAGGTAGATGTTGAAGTTAATTTCTTTCAAAGTTGTCAGACCTGATCACAATTAGCTGAATTTTCTTTCAATTGAAGGCAACAGCAATACCAACAACGGGAATACTTAAACTTAACACAAAAACAATTTGGGCTCGAATTCGGTCAACTTTCCACAAAGAAAACTTCAAACACATTTCAATCAATCACATCTAGCTAGCATATTATCCACGCACGTTTACTTGAGCCCTCATTTTGCTAGATCCGAGGGGTGTGCGCGCGCGCGCGCGTGTGTGTGTGTGTGTGTGTGTGTGATTATTTTATTGATAGGACTATTATATGAAATCTAACTCATTTTTCGATGCAAACTATTTTCTATTGAGCAGGAGCAAACACTTCTGATTATCAGAGTTTGTCCACAAAAATTATTGCTATGATTTATTTTGAATTCAACTAATATTAATAAAGGAGTGGGGGTAGGTATGCCAGGGCTCAAGGAAACGTGCGCGTATAATAGCTAAATATGCGTCTATTAGCAGATAATCAATCAACAAACGTAATATCACATTAAATTCAATTCGTTAAACATCCTGAATTACGAATACAGTTCTCTCAAAATTTGCCTGAACTAGTGTTACATTCAGAAAAACGATACACATTGAACTCTTCGAACACGGGTATTAAAATAATAATAATAATAATAATAATAATAATAATAATAATAATAATAATAATAATAATAATAATAATAATAATAAATAAAAAATCCCACAACTCCGATCCCAGCAGCTGACGGGTGACGATGATGCGTGCCTAGAATTGATTCCAGTTATTCAAAACGGAATCGATTCCTATTTCTCGATGGTCGTTTCTCGACAGTAAGGTGTGCCAGCCCTAGCGTCAGCACAATCTATCTTCTGCGCATGCGCATATGCACTAAAATGGTGCGAAACTTTAACTGCGCATGAGCAGATCGATAGTGCTTTAACGTTCGAGATGGCACAATCTCACTGTTAAAGCACAATCGATCTTCTGCTCAGGCGCAGTTTAAGTTTCGCACCATTTTAGTGCATCTGCGCATGCGCAGAAGATCGATATTGCTGGCGCTAAGGCTGGCACAAACTGCCCTAGTAGGGAAATATCTCTCTGCGCATGCGCCAACTCGAAATCGAACTCGAAGGGTTAGAGGGGTTTGCCAGGTTCCGCTATTTCGCCGGAATCAGCGGGCAACTTATATCGCATGGTAATCGATCATTCGGCCATATTATATGGGAAGGCAAGACTTCGCAAAAATAGCGTCAGCACAATCTATCTTCTGCGCATACGCAGATGCACTAAAATGGTGCGAAACTTTAACTGCGCGTGCTTTGTCGTTCGACGATGCACAAATTCCCTTGTGCCACCTTGAGCGTTAAAGCAATTGAAAGCACTATCGATATCAATAACGGGTGAAATCGAAAAGGAGCATTTGCACGGTTGAATCGAAACGTGCAAGTCGCAATGGAAGATGTTTCAAATTGTGGCATCAGAGTGTGTTGCTACCGTGAAATTGTCATCAGCTGTTCTGTCGTGTTCAGTTCATAAAACTTCATTTGGCACTTTCATTTCCATTTGTCTATGTAACATTTGATAATGAATAAAATTAATATTAAAATGTGCACCCAGATTCACATATTTACACATTAATACTAGTATTCTTATATAAAATATGTAAAACGGAAATGAAGTTCATATGACTTAAATATGAAAAATATTATACAACAGAAGGAACATGAGCAATGTGAGAAATACGAATATTTTTCTTCCCTAAATAATTATAATAACCAAGATATTCATTACTTCAGTAATATTTTAGGATCATATAAGTTTTTCTTCACACATATGTTCAAGTGTTGCAGCCAAAGGCCAAAAGGCGTGAGCCAAATAGCATAAACGTATGCTTCGTGGAGTACAAAGTTTGATCCTAAGATTTCCAGAATCTCCCCACTACTATCGTTGGGTATGCGGTCAGCCATGTTGCTGATCTCAACTCCTTCCAAGCTGATGAGACGAATTGAAGTCGAAACAGTATAGAAAAAGATGGAAAGATCATCGTGTGAGCGTTTTCAGTTCGTTTTTACATAAACGGAGTTTACAAAAACGTTCGTTTTTACATAAAGGAATCTGTCGATACCGGTGAAGCAAATTGCAGAATTCATTGGAATATCCATATCAAGAGTATTGAAACTCCGGAAAGATATCACTACAAACGGACAAATACAAACGCCAGGGAAGAAACGTGTGATTAAAGTATACGATGACTTTGTAGGCAGTGCAGTTCGATCGAAGGTGCATTCCTGGCATCAAAAGGGAAAAAATGCAGAAACGAAACATCAACGCTTGCGAATTTGTGACAGCTTGTGAATTGTGTTCAAGAACTTCCGACCTTTAGGGCAACCAATTTATACAAATAATTGACATCCGGGTATAGACAACCGCTTCCTAAAGCAGACGTAAGTAACGTGTAGTTTCATAAACATGACATTCACATGGCAGCTCTTATTTCATCTGAATTGGTGGGGTATGCTGCTCGCGTAATCGAAAGTAGCGCGCTACGCGGTGTCCAATCAGAAGCGTAGTGCGGCGCAAAGATTCCTTCTATTTGTTTGCAACAAGTTTTTTTCTTACGGTAAACTGATAATAGTTATTTTTAAACATTTTTTTCTCAAAAAACGGTCCCAAATTTTTTGATTAAATTTTAACGCTGGATAGCGCAAAGTAAGTAAAGGGAATGGTACCCGTTTCATGTTTGTTAAAATCCCTGATTTTTCGAAAATTGCAAAAATTCAAAATTTGTAGCGCGTTCCTTCAATTAGAATATGACTATTCTTTTTAATGAAATAGGTTCGTCAAAAACAGATCTTCAAATAAGGTAATATTCAATTTTTCGAAAATATAAGCCATTGTGCGTAATTTTGCGTGAAACAAAGGCAACTTTTAAATTTCAAACAATTGTTTTCTCAGAAACTGCTCCAATTTTTTTCTTTAAATTCTTTCCACGCAAGGAAAGTGGTACTGGTTGTATTTTCGAAATTTGGAAGAAATGCGAATTTTCATGCTTCGTTTGAGGCGGTGTCGCTCTGTCATGTAATTAACGTGCTTGGAGGCAGTAATTCAAATTTTGAAAAGAATATTATGAGAGATAAGAATTAAGATTAAAAGATATTAATGTTTTAAATATAGAAACATTAGGTTTTGATCATCCCTGTGTATTTCTGCTGCCTATCATAATTATTGAATGGGATTTCACGAAAATACATATTTTTAAAGGAACAAGATACTTGCATTCAATTTACAACAGTTTACAAGACATCCTGAATGAATGTAACTATTTATACTTTACAAACTTTTATATATTTTACCTGTTATTACATATTAAATTAATCTTAATAAATTTATATGTTGCAAAGAAACATTTTATATGCAATTTTGCAATATGCGTTATTGGAATCATCTTTTTTTATAAAACACTGTATTTATGTGCTTCTGCGCATCTATCACCACCTACCCTTCACAATGTATTATCAAACTTACCCCCCACCCTTCTTAGAAGAGAACAATTTATTCTTCATCTACAGAAGAATGAAATATTGAAGAATAGAAAACAACAAAAACAACTAAAGGGTGCTAGAGATTAAAAAATATAAACGAATTTTCCTAATTTCCCTGTAGCAGTTTTTCACCTGTGGGCCTGGTTGACTATGGGTTAATTGTAACAAAACAATTCACCGTTCAAAAATTTCACGTTTCAAATAATTTCTTACAAACTTTAGCCCATAATGAAGAGTTACACATGTACTGATAATTTAATTGGCCGTGGTAGTTGCAACAATGCTACACCGTGCAGTCATGAGTTCACAGAAAGGAATTTCCAATTTCCAGTTATTACTGACGTATTAATATAACTGAAAGTCAATGGTATGGTGAATACGTAAAGTAGTCAAGCTCCATAGATAACTACACAGGGACAGATGGATAGATAGAATATCAAAAGACAGATTTTCAGTACATGAAACCCCGGAACTATTTCCATGAACTCAGACTTTGATAATATTAAATATTAAAAAAACACCAACAATTCCTGATACGTATTTAAGGAAATGATTTTAGATTGTAAGGTATAAAAAAATAAATAAAATTATCTTCTTGGTTGAATTTACTTGCAAGATCCCAAAAGATAGATGTTTTGTAAATCTCAGATGACCATATTCAATTCACAAGAAAAATCATTAAATTTTACATAAAATACATCATCTATAGTACACCTAACAAAATGATAAAACAATGAAAAAAAATGGTCTTTCTTAGATAAAATTTGCTGTGTATCAACCTACAACAGCAACTAAAAGGCACATAACACAAAAGTGTGTAAGAAAAGTTTCTTCGGATAATTTATTAACATACATATCTCATACATGCAATAAAACTATCTTCTCCACCTATATTTAAGGAAAAATTAATTCTCACCTGCAATTCAATGCCACCAGAATCATCAGTTTCATTTGTGCCGGTAACAGAGTCACCAACTACCACATCTCGATGTGGCGAACCCTCCAACTCGCGTTGCCACTGTTCACGGAAACTTGTGAGAGCATCTTCTATTGACAACTTTTCCTACCAAAAAGAAAAATATTAATTAGCTGTTGCTGTGGCCAGAATAAAATTATGTTGTCATACGAAATACTTGGATAAGACAACAAACATTCGCCTTCTCTTACCAATCGTGAAGAAGAGGATTCTTCTTGTTCATCTCCTTCAATGCTCTCTCCCACTGAACCAGAAACACCACTCCCAGCTCTACCACAACCATCCCCTCCACCAGCTGAATCCGCAGCTGACGGTGTGCACGCAGGAGAACTGTCATTGCACCTACTGTTGGACTGCAAAACCAACCATCACAAAAAACAGGATTACAATAAACACTCAACTCACAGGCATACAGAGGTCAATAACGTTTGTGTTGGGTTAGGTTCAGTGACATACGTTGCGTGTTTACAACCCGTTCTAATACAAATAATTCAGTCTCTCAAGTGTAATATCACATACCATTGTTACATGTGATCAGATCGTCAGCTGATATTTCAAAACGAAGACTCACGGTCAGAATACCTCACCACACATTCAAAATACGTCTTTGCCTTCAACGCAGCGGCCATTTTTCTGCTGCAGATAAAAAACCTATCGATATCTTTAAAGTTTCCGAAACATGCGATAGTTCGTGAATTATCGATATACTCTAAAGTATGGTGATTTCACGCAAGCCGCCGAATTCAAAATTAAATCCAAACATCGCATCAGAAAAGCAGGTTTTCCATCATTACGGCTACCATAAGCGAAACTATTACACTATTAAAATGAAGTGATACAATTACGAATTACGATTAAATTTGTGCGACCTTACAAATCACACGAAATCCAGGGCAGGATTTATATTTTAAGGGACCCTAATGGTGACCAATGAACTTTCTCATAATGTGGAAATTGTGATCATAATCAGAGGTGTACCCAGGACTTTTTCGGGTGGGAGGAATAAAGGAATAGTGTCCAATCGATTTGATGTTTTCTTTTAAAGAAGTTTTTATTTACGATGAACATAAATTGTATTTTTATTTGTTGATAATGGTTAATATTTATAATGTAAACAATTGATATATTGAATGTAATTCCTTAATAGAGAAAAATAGTGAAAGTCATATTTTTAATATATTATATTGGTTTCTGGGGGAGGGGCCTGAAGCCCCCTTTGTGCCCCTCTGAACATAATAAATAAAATGAAATATAAATACAAAAGTATTACGTTTTTAATGTGTAAATTTATTAGTATTGTAATAATAAATACAATGTATACATCGATACATACCCGTCAAACTACTAGTGGATACACACTTCGATACTAAACGACTTCTTTAACTTTTTAAAATTAATCTCATAACATCTTTTTCATAATCAAATATTTGCGCCTTGAAATGCCCGGCTATCAATACACTGTGTTGTTAGCTCTATTTAATCTTATCCCAATTAATCTCATGGCTGTTCCATTTATGTGGGTAAGGAAAAACTACGCTCATACGAGAACTCGTCCAGGAAATTATTTTATTGGAGATAATCTATGAATGTAAATATTGCTAATAAAATCCGCCTTTCAAACGTGATCCGCACGGCAACAATGGCGTCCTGCTATTTATACTTTGATTTCCCTTTGCCTGATTTCATATGTCATGTCGATGCCCTTTTAAAACAATATAATTGAAACAATAATTATTGCCCTTTCTTAAACAAATATCTACAATACAGAAAAAAGCACGTTCCCAGCAAACATTCATACTTGGAATACTCTCATAATTCACATGGGTTCATTGTTCTCCAACGCATGCTGGTGAGTACGGGAATAAATTGCCTCTGATAGCGAGGTATATATACATCGCCATACATTGGGGAAGAACTAACTGAGGGCAACACCACAAGATCAGAGTTTAAATTTAAGCTACATAAATATATTCTCGAAATTTTAACTATACACACTTGAGTAAAAAAAACCTTAGCAACATATAATTCAGATTTTTATAATTGCAATGAATAACAGTAGTTTGAAATTGTATTAAAGTTTGGAATATCTGGCCAGGAAATTTTCAATAAATTACTTGGAGAAGCCAAATGCACATATGCATGTACTTTGGTACAACCGCTCTTTACAAGCTAAGGCCTTTCCAGCAGCGTCCAGGCCTTGCGGCCATGGGTTAAGGGGTAAGGAACCCTGGGTTAAAGAGTAAGGCGCTATGTTGGCACATAGCCATCCCTACGCTGTATTCTTAAATTCTCAACCTGAAAATTGTGCTTTCTCATCGTCTCACAGCAGCAAATACTGGGACATTGGAAGGAAAGTGCACAATTAATTTCAGCCATGACCGGCAATCTAACTCGAACGAAACACATACAAAACAGGCAGGATTCTGTTGCACATGCAACGATTCGCGCAGGAGTGAATAAAATACGTCCACACAGGTCAATTTCTATTTGCACTAACACTGGTACGACGAGGGGCATATGAAACACGTTCAAACGCTAATACGAAAGGTTACGGGTTTCGCCCGTTTTCGTAATTCAAATTCACTTGCCTAGACATTTTCCTGTCATTCTCAGAAGTTTCATGTGAAAACGTGTGTAGATTTTCCACGTTTTTGCAATTGTCATTTACTTGCATTGCCTGAACGTATTGAACAAACACAGTATCAAAATGACCCACTAAACTTGAGTGGATCTTCAAGACTTGTGCTAAGACCAAAAATTATGTAGGTCACCAAATCAACTGCTTTCTTCTGTCACCATGGCCATTAAAACGTGTTGCATATTCTATTGCAAGAAATGGCATTAAATGTTTATTCAAACTTGTCAAGCAAAATATATTGAAAATATCTCTCATACAAAATGTAAACCTTAAAATCATTGGGGATAACAAGTAATATTTTAAGCGCGTGACGTGAATATTGAAATTCAACCATCAAAATTTGAATTTAACCCAGGAAACTACAAACAAATTATATATGATAAAAAGTGGATTATTTATTCATATTTTTATATAACCATACATTTATGGCAATTAATGCATTGAGAAATTATATTAAATTCTGGTTAACTTAATGTTGAAAGTTCCTCCACTCCGTGAAAAATTACGAACATTTTTGGGACTGTGTTTTTGAACATTCTGTTGTTGTTGTTGTTGTTGTTGTTGTTGTTGTTGTTGTTGTTGTTTTTTTTAAATTATTACAGATTAAAGTCTTTTTTACGCGTAATATTTCTCTCGATGATAATAATTAATACAAATGTGTAAAATAAATATTTAAAAAGCAGACAGTTTATAAAAATTAACGGGAGTCAATTCTATGCTAATAGCAGGGAGGCTCAAAATTCGGTGGCAATTTTCATAATCGATGAAAGGATATGTGAAACCAAATGTTTCATACATTTCATAATAAAGCAGCACCAGGGTAAAACGTTCGGGCCCACAAGGCGAGCGGGTCCGGTTAAGAAAGGGTCCATATTAAGGGGATGTTTTTATAATTTAAGGTAATAACACTACGTGTTAGCTTTACACGTTTATAAAGAGTGCTCGGATAAATGTTTTCTAGTGGACCCGTACTCATTTCGTTACGATACTGAGCACCACCTTAGCATCATCGCTAATATCATGATAGCACAGTTATACTGTGATGATATTTAGTATTGTGATGATATATAGTATATTTAGTACTGTATTTAGTATACTTTAGTATTTACATCAAACAGTTTTCAGAAAGAAAAGGTAGACTTGAAGTGCATTTAGCGCTTCATGCGGATATCAGAAGTACTATCTTGTAGTATATTAAGTTGTGTTATTTTAAAAACTATTACTTTTATGTCTGTTATATTCACATTACTAATACATTTATTATGTATCATTCATTTGTATCTGTAAGAATTGGGAAGACGTATTGAAAATTTGACAAAATATTATAGTGTGTTCAAGCTTTTGAAATTCCTCGACGCTAGATCGCGTTTATGTCGCGGCGAAAATGCATTCTCTGAGCTACTGTATGAATTTACTCTGTGAACACGCTTCAGCTCCATTCCACGCCATTTCAGGAGGGTGTTCAGTGCTTGTTCTCTTATGAGCTAAGGTCTTTACGACGACTTGCACTTTTAATTATTAAAAATGACTTCCAAAGCCGAATTAGCTTGTGTATATTCTGCGCTAATTCTTGCAGATGACGATGTTGCAGTTACAGTAAGTATTATGAATTGTGCGCAAATGGAAAAATATGCGATCCTCGTTGACCACGTGGTGATTTCAGGGAGAGAAAATACAAACCATTCTGAAGGCTGCAGGCGTTGATGTTGAACCCTACTGGCCTGGACTGTTCGCGAAGGCTCTGGAGGGTATCAGTGTTAAAGATTTGATAACAAACGTGGGTTCGGGTATTGGAGTTGGTGGTGGCGGCGGTGCGCCCGGAGGTACGTAGTTGAAAGGAAGCGACCATGTGGTGTTAAAAGGGAAAAGTTGCTTAATGTTCAAATGTTTCTTGAATGTAGCTCCTGCTGCGGCAGCAGCTGCAGCTTCCGAAGCCCCAGCAGAAAAGAAGGAAGAGGCTAAGAAGAAGGAGGAGTCTGAAGAATCGGACGATGATATGGGTTTCGGTAAGTTTTTTATTGGCACGGAAGTATTATAAATTACCACTATTAACAGCCCAAAACTTTACATTATAAACGAAAATGTACCGGAAACACACAATTTTGGAGTATTTATAACTTGTATTCATAGAGTGAAGTCAATTTGAATTTTGGAGAGCAGGGAGGGCATTGGTTTAAGATTTGTCGTTTAATGCAACTAAACATTTTATATGTGTAAAAAAAAAAAAAAAAAAAAAAAATGGAAAATGGGCTCCCTATAATTTACAGTATTGCTCATAATGGTTTTAGAGTAATGATTTCTATTCAGTTATAGGGAAATTAAGAGACGGGTTGAGTAGGTCAGTGATAAAAAAAATGTTTTTTCTGGTTAATTTTTCCCCACTAGTATTTTTCTAACAAGAAAGGGAAGCTTCCTTGTACTTGACTGCTTGGTTTCCTATAATCCATAGTGTTTGCTTTATTCAGGGTATTATCTCAAATTAATTTATAATCTGTATACTTGTTTGTAAAGAACAGTGCACTAGTATGTTCATTAGTATTTGTTAGCTGCTATAACTTCTAGAAAAATTAGAACCTTGGCCATAGTAATAACAAAACCAACTACCAACTTCGTATGTTACCATTTTATTTTGTAGTGATGAATGCCTTGAGTTACTATCAGATTGAAAATAATTTTTAATTTAATTTGAAGTATTAATATTTTAAAATAAAAGTACATTTTGTAGGTCAGTAGGCAAATTCAGAATGTGTTGCAAATAAAGTATTTACTAAATACAAATTCTGTGTGTTAAGTTTATTATTGGATTTACTTGAATTTTCAACTAGGTAATAGTAATAAAATTTTATCTAGGATAATGAACTTACCAATGATTACTTGTATTAGCTGCTGATAACAATGATGTGAAACAGCATTATGAGAACTGTTCATAATTAGTGTTTTTGTAAAGATGTGATCTCTGTTGCTAATTATTTTTCTTCTGTTTCAGGTCTGTTTGACTAGACTGCTCATTCCAAGAAAATGACTTGTAATATTTTAAATAAAATATATAAGTGAATATGTCTTTTTGTTACAACCGTTTTCCATGTGAAATTAGACTTAAATCAAACTTCAATATCTTAAATATTTTTACTATCTTACTCAAATATTTGCATGATTTATGAAGGTTAAGTAGTTGTTTGAAGCCAAAAGTAAATTTTCATAGTTTATTCGGTCTAAAATGCAGGGGTGTGAAACTACTTGAAAATGGATTTGTGATATTAGTTTCGCAAGAATGTACTTTTGTTTCTGGGGCCATTATTCACTTGTGCTTTGTTACTTTGTCAGCTCGTGGGTGCTTCAGTTGCATGCAAGTTTCAACTTGTCAGCAAGATAAGATTATAAACTTGGTTTTGATAATTACGGTTATTCTTGGTAATGGTTTACAATGTAAGATTTTTAACACCTGCCTTTATAGTTTAAATTGATGCAAATGGGTATTAAGGGGTTCAACTAAATGTTGAATCTTATGGCTTCTAGGCAGTGGGAACATTTAATCTCTAAACATTGAAACTTGACTAGGGAAAATGGTTTTTTTGATGGACAACCCTGTATCTAGTGTGTTGTGAAAGTTTGATAGCAATTCCCCAAGATTTTGCGGAATCGCCAGATAGAGGTAATTGAATCGACACGGCGGTAGACACTACGTCTAGTCCCCCTCTATGGTGCTAGATTTAAGAATGGTACTGTGAAAATTCAAAAGCAATGTCAGAGGGCAAAAAATTTAGGGCATATATCCAACTCCCTATATTTCGTGCTGCATGTAAATGACGGAGTATGCTAAAAAATCCAAGTTCTTTGCGCTCGGCAGTCTTTTTCATAAAATAAAGATTGAGAACTCACTAGATCATGGTAAATTTCAGCGCGACGTTGCAAGAATGGACAGAAACCAAAATTGGTTTCGGGATTTATAGAAGTACTTACTAGAGGTAACGGGAATTCCTCTAAACTAATATCTAGGTGATAATTTAGGAACAACTTTAAATGGTGAGGGTTTATCAACTTGTGGGAATCTCCAAGATTTATAATGCTAGCATTACGGACAGGAAGAGTTATTAAAAAAGCAAAACTTTCCATTGTGCGGCCAATACTAGAGCGACTAGTGTATTGTGATCCGCAGCTACTTTCTGAAATAGAGTTCAGAAATCATTGGCGAACCAGGAAAAATCAAGGTTATGTATTTCCCCCCCCCCCAAAACATTGGAGCATTAACCAGCATGGTAGGAAATTCAAGAAAGACGGCATGATCCAACTAAATTAGCATGTCACGATCATAAACTCGACCAAAGAAACTGACAACTGTTGTGAGGAATTATTCGTAAATACTAGCTCTAATGCACACGTAAGCCAGAGAGTATATATGCAAGAGACGTAAGCTTCCTCGGTTCGAATCCATAAATTCTTAGCTATCAGCCAACGACCCCGCGTCTCCCGAATAGCCAAGAATTTAATACTACCTCTAACATAGCTTGTAATAGCTAGTCCATTATAATTCCGATTGCAAGGGAGACTCGAACAAGACGTTTAGAAATAGATTGTAGCAACAAAGGTCCGAGCGATAGTACCTCTGCTTGAATATTTTATATTTACTAATAACAAAAAAAAACAGAGCTCCACTACAAAAACGAAACTGTACAAGACCCACAAGAAATAGCTGATATATTCAATGAACACTTCACAAATTAGTGATAAGTTAATCTCTCAACACTCTCTAAACAAAACACACCAAACAAACACTAATATTACACAAATTGTAAATTCCATATTTTTATATGAAACAACCCCCTCTGAAATTTTTAAAATCATTGGACAAATGGAGAATAAATTCTCAGCAGGCATGGACAACATTCCAGATTTTCTTATTAAACACAGTGCTCCAGGTATAGTGCAACCACTCTCTCACATCTGCAATTGCTCTCTAAAATCAGGCATATTTCCAGATATATTCAAAACAGCAAAAATTAAACCATTGTGTAAAAAGGGCAATAGTTATGACCCAATGAACTACAGGCATATTTCCCTGTTATCAGGATTTTCAAAAATTCTGGAAAGACTTTTCAATGATAGACTCAAATAGTTCTCAAGTGCAAATAATATCCTTACAAATGCAAACATGGCTTCAGAGTAATAGATCCACAACAACAGCCATCTTCTCCTTTTTAAGACAACTTGCATGCTATATTAGAAAAGAAATATTCCCATTAGCCTTTCCTTATGATTTGTCAAAAGCCTTGCCTCATATGACGCATTCATATACTTTTAAAGAAAACTAGAAATGCTAGGATTTGAGGCATTGCAGCCCAATGGATCAAATCATTTATCAACCGTAGACAAGTAGTGCCCTCCAAACACACAAAGAAAACAACAAATCTCCTCCACTACTGACATCTTGTCCTCAAATAATAAATTGTGAGTCAGCAAGGATGCGCCACTTGGCTCAATACTTCCCATTCCTTAATACATAAAATGACAGTGCCTTGGCTGTAAGGCAACAACCAAAATATTTTTTGGCAGATGACTACAAACATTCATCATCAAAGCAAAAACACACAACAATCATTAGAAAAAGAAACTCACACAATACCAAACTTTGCAAGCACTAGTAAAAGGTTTCAAGACAACTAAACCATCATAAACACCAGGGCAAGACAGTCTCTCTAAATTTCAATGAATCTCGTCTAAAGAAAAAGTCTCACAGCATTGCTCATAAACAATAACCCTGTAACAATATCTCATGAAACTACCTTCCTGGACTAACAATTCAAGAAAAACCTAAAATGGAACACTCACATCTCAAATCTAACAAGAAGCTCAGCAAATCTTGCTATGCTCTATACACTCCAAGTCAAGCTCTCAACATTTGAGAGACACTTTCGAACAATGTATTACTGCAAATGTGCACTCCACACTCATAAAAGATATGAGAATATAGTCTGAAAAATGTCCCTGAAAAGTCACTCGCACAGTTATTATCCAAAAAGCAATACTGCTGAACAATGACCAGCACTCATAAGCTGAAGCTCTTGCAAACCCTTAGTTAAATAAAACGTAAGGTATTCTCTCTACGATGCATGTACATATTTGAAATAGTGTCTTCACAAAAAAAATTGCTTCATGGAAAACACAAGACAGTAGTTGACTTTAAATATCTGAGTACGTAACTACAACACCGTCCAAAAGGATAAACTTCGCACGATTCCCACTCTGAAACTACACGTTGTTACAAAAAAGTACCACTAATAGACAGGGCATACGACTTTACAACTAAACTAGAGCCAATAATCAAAGCATAAACACAATTCTATACATTTAAAAGTAAATGAAAAGCTCTTCCCGCTAACAATCATGTTTCTACATGAGAGAAGTTCTTATAATGTACATTGTCCCTTCAAAAATATAAAAATAAAAATAAGAATTTCTTATTCATTAGACTTTCTGTTTTCATGTGAAACTGTTTCAAGCTGAAGCAAGAAGAGAGAGAAGAACTGCATATACATCGTGAACAATAGGGAGAATAGAAGAAAAAAACTGTCAAAAACGTCCTCCTCACCATTCAAGTTATAAAATATAGAAATTACTACTATTGTTAAATTTGATGTAGTTTGCAAACATAATTTGATATGTATTATATAATAATTTTTATAAATAGTAGCATAAAAATATTCATATTGAGAAATGTTTTAATTATTAGCAGATATTATATACTGTATAATATCTAAATCTAACTGTAACAAGTAATTTGTATTTCAGGCAATGACCACAACTCATCAGTTTGTTCATTCACCTGGTCCTTTGAGCAAATTGCTGAGATTGGCCCTTGTTTGCTCCTGAACAGTAATATAAACTCGCTCTCTCAGCACTCAGGCATCATATGACTCGTCATACACGATTGTAATTGTATATGTGACTCAATAATAATAATAATAATAATAATAATTATTATTGTCAGACGTATTAGAATCAATGTTGCAGTAGTAAGTACTACGAAGTTAATTATGCTTCAGTGCTATTCACTGTATGTATACAAAGTGTGAAGAATTTGCTACCAATGCCCAAAGCAGATTTAATAAATTATTTACCTAGCAAAAATATTGTACACGATTATCTTTCCAGAATCTACAACCATTACTAGTTACTTGATTTACATTTTAAAAATTAATGACCCCGAGTTTCCTAAATTCTACAAGTTTTCGTTCAGTTTCAATCTGTGGAGCAAATGGTGATATTGCCTTTTATTTTGCTTCTAAGCAATAACTGTCTTACAGATATCACACAGAGTTAATTTCTAATTGAGCCAATAAATCAAAAAATACAAAACAAAAAGATTGAAAAAGGGGTAAATGGATAAGAGAAAAAAAACAGTCACAAAACTTCCTTTAAATGAAACATTGACATTGTATTTTATATGTAACTCAATCTTTATAAAGTTTTGGGTAGGTATTGATTTCAAATTACTTCCTCACAGTTTGGCATTTGGAAACCCTTCGCAATTCAAAAGTTTTCTTTAAGCTTTACCTTAAATTACCCGAATAAGAGGACTGCTAAGTTTGACGAGGCCTTATTATCTGAGCTGTCACTATTTCCTTCTCCCTTAAATTTACCATAAGCATGTTTTTTGTCACTATCCTCTTCATCCTTCATCTTCACATGCACCACAATACTTTCGTCCTCCCACTTTTTAATTGGAAGAATACATTGCTAATGTGTTTTTATAGTAGTCGAGTAACAATGTATTATAGAAAAGCTTGATGTACAAAGGCGGTGTAAAACTACAAATCTTAACCAGCTAGGATTAATCTGTAAATATAAGACGACCCTGTATTTTCTGAATGAGATTTTAGGAGAAAAAATATAGTTTTATATTCAGGCAAATATGATAATTACACATTTTTTAATTTTTATCACCTGTATATTCAAATGATAGTGGAAATAAAAGTTTTTGAATATGAAGTTTCCAAGCACAAACACCACCACCACCACCATTTCTCACCAAAGCAAATTTCAATTTTTGTCACATAGTTCTGACACTTTTATTGGTTTGGATTACCTTGGTCTACTTAGAACATGTTTGGATCGGCACAGACTGACCTGACTGCTATCTGCTGTTTCTATGACTGGAACATTTAGCAATATAATGTAGGGTTTTTATTATTGCTAAATAATTAAAATCCTACCCGAGAATAACAAAGATTACTTTGAAGCAGTGCCACGTTAACGCATGGGCCTGAAGGGATCAGGCCCAGGGCCCCAATATTTCTTAAAAAAATATTTACTACTACATTTTTCACAATAAAATAATAAACTATAAAAAGTAAAGTATGATAATCTATGTACAAAAAATTGGCATAACGGAGTGATGTGTCATGTATTATTGGATAATATTTATAATATGAAATGTTGCTGGTTGATGCGAGAATGTCACTCAGTGATGAGAAGTTTTTTAATAAAACTTGTCTTTACATATTTAAATATATTGATTTTTTTTTTTAACTGATAGGATTTTGTGTATATTTTAGGATCAAGTGGAGGGGGGGGGGGACGTTGGCGAAAGTAAGAATAGGGGCCCCCCAGGTTAACTAGGGTCAAGGGCTCCCGAAGCTGTTAAGAAGCCCTACTATAAAGCTGTTGTACTGTCTTAACGCACTCTTATTTGAATCCACTGGTTCTGGTTAGAATCCAATCATCCATTCATCTCTTCCAAACAAATATAAAACTAAGAAAACAATTGAAAGTAGATTTAATGTTTGAAATAAAAGAAACACTTGCAAATTTGAACCAAGCCTTTTATTAATAATATGGAAAGCATAAAACATGTGTTTAATTAAATTCATATAAAAGAACTATTCTTATAGTGAACTGATATTTTCACAACAAAATCTATACTTCAAAAGCAATGTTGACACAGAAATCCAATGCTGACAATCTGCGCAATAAAGGCAAGAAATCTTGGTAGAAAAGTAGATAGGCAATATCTACTTACATTAGAAGTAAATAATAAAAATAAATGTAAATATAATTTTGGAAAATGAAATTGGAGGCATTTCAAAACAGCTTTTTCCAAGATATGCAAAAAATAAATTTGTTTAACTTCATGATTATGTAAAAGTAAAATAATAATAATTCTACATGAAATGAAAAATCAGTCTGAGTGTTAACTTGCAAATCTTCATTTAAAGCAACCCAACAAATATAGGCAGAACACACACAAAATAATGGATTTTCTGAATCATAGGTGTCTTTTACCACAAATGACAGGAATGCTTGTGATTGTGCAAATTAAACACTATTTTCTTAATGCTCAGTCCACATTAAATATGTATTTTGACACCATCTTGGGAAGAGTTTGAGATGCAAATAGGAAAGCTATTACCGAACAATCACACTATTTGCTTAATTTTCAAAGTTTGGGGTGAAAAATGAAACTGTACGTAAATTTAAATGTGTACAAACTCTTTAGAGATTAGCACATTCATATATTTTTTAGGCTGTGTTCTTGAAGACAAAAATGAATAAGGATCAACTTGTCATTCCCTACAAAGAACACAAATTATACAAATAATATGTACATATAGGAAAAACTTACAAAAATGTAATTAATAAAGAATGGGAATGGTATAACTAAAACCATATAATTTACTTGGTTTTGGCAAAGTTAGGCAGAACATTTAACTTTTCAGTCTTATTCACCTATATTACACAGTTTTGTTTTATTAAGTAGATTCATTATACATATTGATTTCAACAGTCTGATTTACTTGTGACATTTGATCAGAATATGGCTCTGGAATAACAGGCAGGGATGGTGCTTGCCTTGAACAAGAAGGCTGCTGTTGAGTTTGTTCATTGTCAAGGGAAGTAGTTGAAGTATCTCCTGCAGTAGACTTCCGCAATTTCGGAAGTCTTTTATTTTCAGATGACAGAGGATGAAAAATAAGACTTCGCAACGAACCTCCAGAAGATGGCTTATTTCCATTTACAGATGTACCCATTTGCTTGTCTTTTCCTGCATTTTCCAGAATTACATCTGACTTTGTATTGCTGAACATTATAACAGCAGAATCATCATCATCATCGTCTCCTTTACCACACTCTTCAGTGTTTTTATTATTGTTTGTTTCATTGGCATTTCTTTTGTCAAACAAAACAGAACACATTTTACCCAACGAGTCCATACTTTGCACGTCATCACTGGGGAGATCATGTCGCAACCGCCCATCACCATTCCAGGCTTTGCGACCACCAATTATATCAATTTCAATTTCGGGTATCTCATCATCTTCAAATGCTTGTGGTGGTGCAATAAAGCTAACATGATCATCAAAACGCACTCTTTCTGAAACTCCATCTTCTCCTCCAGTAGTCCAGCTACTACTTTCACTACCCTGAAATCAGATACAAACATTAGTACTGGTCATCTAACACCTATACAGAAAATTAAAAATCAATTTTAAATGATGCAAGCACTGACAGTGAAGAAAAGATAACAAACTTAACACTATGTTTATAATAAATAAGTTTCACTATTAGGACAATTGTGTGTCAGGTTGTGGAATGCATGCATTTGTAAGTGCATGCGTGCGTGTGTGAGTACACATATGGGCACATAATTGCTTTTGTGTGTACACTTGTGGGCACGTGAGTGCTTTTGTGTGAAAGCAAGTACAAGTTTGAAATGAAATCAAATGCAACATACATACCCTTGATTTTTAAGTTATTTTAAGAGATGAATGTTCAAAATATTATGCAAGAAAATTTCAGAAAAGATTCTCATTAAGTACAAAAGATAGTATAGTGTTAGTGTTAGTGTAATATTACAAGCACATTTGTGGAATCATTAAATGAAAGCAGTATTATTTAATGCAATTCCATGATGTTCGTAGCTCTAGCTTTCCTGTCAAAGCTGTTTGCTCCAAAGTAAGGCAGAAAGGCCTTCCAAGATCAATATGGGAATATCACTTTGAGACTCCAAATCTCACAGTTTTGGGACTTTGGAATATAAAAGCACATATTATTGATTAAATGAATTTTTAGCATCAGGATCTAATGAGTGAAGCTGTGTGTAGCGGCAATTCAAAATATTAATTAAATAGAGAGATTCTAAAAGAATATTACTGTAATTCTTCTTTCAGAGTCAGTATGGTGTAAATATCGCAATTTATCTTCCTTTTCTGTTTTACCTGTCGATCTAGAGGAGTTCTTCGCCGTGTGCGTCTTGTTGGTCCAGCTGCAAGTTCTTCCAGGGAGCTCAATGACGCAGGACCTGCAGCATCGTCACTTCGTTGACTTGCTGAATCAGTGTGCACTTCTACCGGAGTGCATGCATCAACAATTGTTCCTCGATATCCTGACAAAGAACTGGAATCCATTTTAAAATTGAGAACTGAACCAGCAAGGGCTCTGGTAGAAGCTCCACCATCATCCGCAATGGATGCTGACACAGACTTTTCTGATAAACTGGTGGCCGCTGATGCAGTTTCACTACTCATACTGAATCTCTGGGTGGAAGCCACATCTGCTTGCACCTCAAGCCTGGAAACAATTAACTCTTAATAATCTTTGGTTAGAAAATAAATACTGCAACAATTACATCTCTTTCTTTCAACTGTTATTTCAACAAATCTCATGAAGAAACTATGAGCAATAGACATTCACTAGTTTTTAAATCACTGCCAAAGTTGATATTATGCTGCATGTATTTTTAATCTTTACTGGATTGAAGAAAAGTATAAAAGAAGTGGTAACTTAACTGCAATTATATAAATATTAAAAATGAAGTGAACATACATGGGAAATACTTTTATGAAATAAACATCCAACTGAAGTTTTTAATTTTTATATTACTTTCATTATGTGTATTACTTATTTATTAAATAAAATTAACGGGTGATACCATTTACATTGTAAAAATTCAAAAAGAATTAACAGAATAAAGCCTGTGAAGGTACATATCAAATACTAAAAGATCTCATAGGTGAACAGTAGTACAAAGATAAGCACAAAAGAATGAAAATAAAAGTAAATACAAACTTACAAATTTTACATAATCAGAACTAAATGATATGTCTAATCAAAAAACATTGAAAGGCATTATTTTGAGTTGTTAAAAGATCATAGTCAGCGCCCAAGCTATTTGCCAAACCATAAATGCGATTCATAATTTCATTAGCGCAATAGTTACTCGCAGAAGTGTGAACTAAAAAGGAAGTCATTCTTCTAAAGATTCGCTTTGGAACTCTAAATGGTACGCAAGAAAGACTGTCTTCACAGTCTATTCTATTCAACAACATATCACATGGGAAATAAATAATTTTCATTATAGAAGAAAGCATGCTGATATTTAATTTTGATCTTAGAATGAAATCATTGACATGATTGTCCAGGGCAATTCTCAGGGCAATTCTGTGAGCAAAAACCCGTAGGAACTTGTGTTAAACTCTTTCAATGGCTGATATACGTGATTTTGTAGGTGTTTCGAACTCGTGATGCATATTCAAGAATTGTTTTAACAAGTGTTTGATACAAAGTGTCACAACAAATCGAAGACCATACCTCATATTTTCAGTGCCTGAGAAATAATGTTCTGAATATGATCCCCAAAAGTCAGCTAACCATCAAACATGACACCCAGGTCACTAATACAATTAACTCTGCTCAAAGTTTCATCTTCAATTTTATAATCTGCTATTACTTTATTACTTTTTCTAGTTAACGACATAAAGCATTTTCCCACATTTAGCCTCATATAATTTTTCCTGCATCATGTCTGCAAATTGTAAAGATCTTTCTGGAGAAAGGCAAAGTCACCATTGTTAACAACTCTATACAATTTCGGGTCATCCTCATAAAGCACACATTGATCATTGGACATGTACCTTGGTAGGTAATTTATAAAGAGATTGAACAGTAGGGGCCCCAAGATGTGAACATTTTGGAACTCAACTAGTAACATCAAATATACCTGATGAATAGGCTTTAATACAAACAAGTTGCATTCTGTCTGTCAGGTAACTACCACTTCAATTTAGCAAAGCTCCTGCTATTTCAAGCTCCCTTAACTTGGTCAGCAAGATATCATAGTTAATGTAATCAAAGGCCTGTGAAAAATCAGTATAAATTGTATCTAGTTGCAATCCGCTTGATATGGCATCCCAAATCGTTTACTGCCGAATTTGTAACAGTAGATCTATTATGCATAAAGCCATGTTGCACAGGTGATATAAATGTCTTTAAATCTGAAAATAAGTAACAGATTATGATTGAATATCTGAAGAAATCGATTATGATTGTTTCAAAGCACAAGAATGTATTTTTCCGAAATTATTAATAGCATTTCATGGAATATACAAAATAATTCCCATGAAAAATCTCCAAAAACTACTACTAGCAATTTAACTACCTTTATCATTGTCTACATCGGTGGTCGGTATCGACCCTTGGGGGTCGATGGAATTTTGAAGGGGGGTAAATTGATGAGCATGGTGTTCATCGAGGGCCAATAAGTAAATATGAACCGGTGATTAAACTTTATAATTAATCGCCTTCTGACAGAGAGCAACAAAATAGAATAATAAATTATAAAACGCTCTTCTTCTTTCATATCCTTCGTTCATGCTTAGGCTCAGGGGTGTAGGTAGACTGATGCAATCGATGCACATACTGATCCCCTGAACTAAGCAGCTCTTAATAAGGACCACATGGAAGGATATTGGAAAAGAATATAACAAACAGCACTCTGTGCATATTTCCTCTGTTACACAAAACCTTTTATGATAGGACTTATCAATTAAATTTAAAGCTCACATTTAAAATTTCACAATTATTACAAATAGGGGCCTGATTTCGAATTTCTGCACTGGGGCATCCAAAAACCTATGTACGCATTGCTTAAAATATTTAGAAAATTCAACCAAACTTTGTGTTCACAAATATATTCTATTGTGGAAGAAATTACTTTCTTCTAATGTGGACTGGGCAAATGTTATGGCCAGTTAAAAATCTCTTAACATCTTTAAATCATTACTAAACAAAGAAGAATAGAAACTCTGTTACTCCGAAACAGAAGAGTCTTTGATTATTGAAATTATTGAACAGACATTTACATGCAATTATTTGTGATAACCTTGTGTGTGTTATATTACACAGAATAACATAAGGAGATCAATAGCAGCAAAAATTCCTTTGAAGGTGTCAATAAATGAAAAAGGTTGGGAATTCCTGGTCACACTTACCTCTGACCACCAGGCAGAACACTGGATGCAATACTACCAGCCAAGCTAGCTCCTGCTAAGGCCACATTGCTGGCAGATTCACGGTCATTCTCTCGACCTAGTCTTTCAAGTTGGCTACCACTACCAAGAGACAGGGATACCTCTCCAATGGAAGGGTTGGCACCACGGTGGCTCACTGCATCCATGGACACTGCATCTACAAACGGTTCTATTTGTAAATAATGAAACAAATTTCACATCATTTTCAAGACCGACTTTCATTACCGACAAAAGTAGGAGTTGAAGATAAATTTAAGAACATATTTATAGAAAGAGTTAGATTTTATCATACCAGTATTCCTTGTGCCCAAAACTCCCATGAGCTCGTTTTCATCATCAAAGTCAAAGCGTACACCTGTACCCGTTGTAGAAACACCACATCCACCAGACCTACATAGTGATACAGGGACAACACCATATACGTAGAATAGAAGTATTGGTACTCCAATTCCTACTGCCAATCCAGCCAACACAGGGGATACCAATACCTGGAACAAAATAAAGATTTATTACAAAATTGTTGAAAACTATTGAAGTGTCAGAGAAATATCAATATGACAAATGAGAACAAAAATAATATACAAAGACACATGTGTGGAGATTTGAATGCCCTATCTGAAAGTTCCAGCAATTAGTTGAAATATGTCAATTTGCATATGTTGTAACTGAAAATACGTGTTTCCCCAATACGCAGAGATGGAGGCTGGTACTTTTAGCTACTTTAGGCACTTTTTTAGGAAATATAAAAGCTGAAAACCTTGTATTGCATTGTTCTGCAAGTTGAACAAGCCAAAAATATTTCGGAATGACTCACCAGTAGCAGATTAACAGACTCTTTAATAAACAAATTTTGTAGTTGGATTGTAAGAATGGCGATGAGTGATAACAAATTATTGAATCCAATAAATATGTTTCCTCTCATTTAACGAAACATTCGGCAAGTTTTTTCCTTGCGATAAAGACTCCATTCTAAAAAGTTTCGTACGTTCAAAATTAAAAACAAACAAACAATATAAAACGACGAACGATTATTGGCATTCACTAATAGTTCATTTCCGAATCTCAGGGCACGCAAAAGGTGCAAAGAACATTTGATGCGATGCCCAGACCGTATGGGATCCTTCCGGCGATTGCCGCAGAACTGGTTGGGGGTGAGCCATCGCCTGACCCCTCGAGTCACAATAGGGAAGGGAGGATCGAGCGCGGTCCGTGTCCCGTTTAGGGAACTGTTCCGGTGTAACGATAGATAAGAGCAGCCAGCATGAAGGGCTGTCATTCGATTAGATGGGGGGGGGGGCAAGGCTCTCAGATTTGGGGCCCTAAGTATTGTCTAACATTTGTTTTCATAATTTATTCAGAAAAAATAATATAAAAATTAAAATGTGTTGATCTTTTATGGTCAGCAAACGAAATGTAAAACGATTATTGGAGGGATGGGAATAAAATCCCATTAGGATTCAGATAATTTTATATTGCTTTTTCAAAATCCCATTAGACAACAAGAATTCATTAGAGGGATTGTTTGATACTCTTATTATTATCTTCTGCGAGGCCCCCTTAATCATGGGAGCTCGAGGCATGAGCCCCGGCAGCCTGTGCCCAAAGACAGCATATAACATCACCCAGGCAATGGCCTCATCTCACATAACACGGCTTCTACCTCTAGTAGAGGAGGCCGTGCATACAATATACGAGTAGCATGTGCCTCCATTAGGTATGCCCTAGGTATGGACCTCGGCCATTCCCCTCTAAGAAGTACCGATTGCCGAGTCGCAAGGATCAGAGCTTTGCGTTTGACGAGTCATCATAAGATACTACTCACTCAGTGAAATCCCCACAAAATGTTTGAGAGGCCTTTTTCGTTACAGGGGTCGGCAATAGGAATTTTACTCTCGAAAAGTCACAGTTTTCTGGCGCACGATTACAGTATTTTCTTTTCTCTCGAACTAAGTACGTGAAAGTGAAAAGTGGATAAATTGTGTTCTTATAAATAGTAAATTACTTCAGATCACAGTCCAGTCAGGCCAGGTCAGAGAGTCCAGTCAGGTCATGTCAGAAAAAAAGGCAATTTTTAAACATTTTCTCAAAATGGTTCATTTTTTCTTAAAATGGTCGCAGTGCTCCCGTCGGATAGGTTAGGGGGAGGGAGGGGGGACTCTCAGCTTCAAAGTGATGCATTTGCCAGTCTGCTAAGAGCAGTTGGGGAGCAGGATCGCCATCTCCGAGGGCTCCTGTGTAATCAATTGCGATGGAATAGTAAACCGAGCAATGTTATACCGTAAAGTTTTGTTCGAAATTCAGCACAGTCGTTGAAAAAATCTATGGGTGCCCAAGCAAACCACTTCGAAGAATATTAAATGTTTGTAACAATATCTTGAATCAATATAGTGGTTTTGAAAAAACTGCATTACTTTCCGGACACACCTTGTATTGAAAGACGGTATAAAAAATGGTGCTAGTCCGAATTTTGGCGAACACACTGTATTTTCAAAAATTGCAAAAGTTAACATTGCAGAAGTACAATATTGAAGAAAGATATTATCTTAAATAAATAAATTAAAAAAAAAGAACTTTAAGGAAGACTATGCGCATTTTAAAAAATATAAAAAAAACTAGTATTTTAAAAGTAATTTCGGCTTGAACTTCATGCAAATTATAAAATAAAAGGTATAAAATACCGCCAAATAGTTTATCAACGGATATAACAAGGGACGCTTAAAAGAATGGCACAGGGCTAATTTTCGTTTAACTCTACGAATTTTCGAAAATTGCAAACGTTAGATATGATTTCCATATGTAATACCACGAGACCTTTGGAAATCATTGATAAATTCCTGACTTGGGACGCGAGGAGGGCATTTATCTGAGAATTTCCAAAGCTCGAGTGGTATTTAATAGGACTATTCCACGAATGAAAATACGTGATGCCCCGGAAAGTAGTACAGCAGAAAGCCCACTAAAACATTAATTTTTGCTGCCAACTCGCTTTCAAAAACTGTTCCAACTTCGTACGTTAGTTCTTAAAACCGTTAAATTAATATGAGATGGCAAACGAACGAATACTATTAGAAACACTTTTTATTCCAGCACATCATACAAACAAGGACAATTTCACAAATAAATTGAACATCCAGAACTAAATGCCATCCCATATATCGCATTATGAATGCATTGGAACACTCAAATTTTCATCGCTGCATTTTTTCATACTATCGCATTTAACTTGTATTTTTTGAAGGAAAATCTGATTGGGCTAATTTCAATTAATATCATCATATACTGACGTTATATGATAAGATGGTATTGTTCTACATAATGAAACTGCCCCCGTCTCTAACAAAGCACGGGAAATTAGAATTTACCATTTCAATTTTGTTTTCCAATTTAAAAAAATCCGAAAATGGAACCAGCACCACTCTCTTTACCGTTCTTTGCTGCATATGCGTAAAACTAGTGAAGCTACAAAAGCACATACTTTCTCGCATTACTTTTAACTACTCCGCTTCATTACACTTCTACATAAACCTGCGAAAACCTGTTTTCATCCAGCAATTTTTTCCGCTCCGCAACCCAATCTCAGATCCTCAGAGTTAACTTGCCGACACTCATACCACTATGCCACAGAAACGCCGTATGGATGGAACACATAAAACGTAAATGCTCGCTTCCTTTCAAAGCGATTCAAAAATCATAACTCCCAAAGCCTCGAGTTCGTTCACATCGACCGGGGAATATCTATTTTAGAGAAAATCGGCAGTACGATTTAAACGGTAGCGTTGACCACAGGTAGAGGGACAGACGTTTCGCCGTCAATCGATTTTTTGGCATTAAGTACCCCACAAAACGGATTCTGGATACAGCACGTTTAGGAGGATATTTTACTTCTAAACGTAGCAACAGGAATTATCTACCTTTATGTAAACAGACCGACAATGAGAGTTTTCAGGCGGAAATTGTTGCGATACAATTTTATTCGTTTTAATGTTTATACGAAAATAGTGTCGTTTTTAAGTTCCATGACACGTTAAAATTAATAGTTACTGAACAAATTTTAGAAGGTTCACTTTCCCTCATTTCCCTCCCCGTGGATCCGCGCCTGCTCTCAAGAAATGTTGGATACTAAGTGACTTCCGTGTGGATTATCCGTGGGCGTTCCGTGACCTTACCACCGGCGTTAGCGACAACCCCTTACGCACGAGCGTATTTGTGACTGGGAGTTCGCATATTTTATCCCCCCC